TGATCTAATCATCTTTGCTAGCCAGCACTCGCTTTAACCACAGAGGAAAAAAAAAAAATTAGTAAGTCGATAGTCTGGTTTAACTTCTTTAGATAAATGGCATCTATTGTCAATGAAAAATGCATTATCCTTTTTTTTTTAAGATTGATTTATTTATGCATACAAGAGCTGGGGTACAGGCCAGAGATGCGGGTGGGGGAGGGGGAATGAGAGGATTCACCAGAGACAGAGTGGGGGACACAACAGGCAGACTGACTGAAATACACTACTGAGGGGAGCAGTGGGTGAGTCAGGAGAGGTCTGCTGCACCATGTGGGTAGCTCCCTGGCCTGGGATCGAACTTGTGCTGCAGAGGTTGCAGATTGTTTCATGGTGTGGTGCTTAACCCCTTGCACCACCAAGGAGACCCAAAAAATGCATTATCCTTCTTAATGATTTCATTTCTAAGGAATGGCTCCCAGATCCTTAAGAGAGACATCACTGGGTTATCAAACTAGCAGAAGGCTTGGAAAAGATTTAATACCAAAAGGATAGAGAAACAACTTAGAGTTGAAAGTTTTCTGAAGTTTATAAAGTTTTCTTCTTTCTAAAAAGAGGGAGTTCAGGCATCTATCATCTGGAAAAAACCTGTATAAAATTTTTGTCAACCTGAGAAGAATTTCAAGAGTGCCTAGGTCACTATTAAAGGTAAAATACTTCAGTGTTTCAGATACCACCCATCCCATTTCCCTCCAAAAAAGTTTGAGTATGAGGAAAGTGAAGCTTACGTAACCATGTGTCTGATGACAACGGATAAGACCTTGAATGCACATCCCCTGGATTCTTCCTGATCGGTTTTGCAGTGTGCCCAGTCTACTCCTCCCTATTGGTGGTCAGTGAGTTGTGACTGACCCCTGCGGGGTCCTTGGGTTCACTCTAGGAAAGGTTTCACCAGAGCTCCCGTTTCAGCGACACGCGGGGAGTTTCCCAGGCGAGTTTCTCCATGAGACAGAGACGTTAGTTACATTTAAAGGGCAGTTTTATTAGGGAAAGGATAAAATAGTTAAAGACACTTGCACAGACACAAGCGAGCAGGAAGAGCTGCCCCAGAAGGGACAGGTATGCGAGAGATGCCTGCATGGTTGCCGGCGGGGCCTTGACAGGTTATGGGCAGGTAGGAAGCTGCTGCCCTGCAAAGAGACAGTTAGTGAAAAGAGGCACCTGCACAGGCACAGGTTTGCTGCCCTGAGCCTGTGTAGAGACTGCACTGATACAGTCTTCCTCTGGGAGGGGTCACTCCTCGTGAGCTGTCAGTTAGTTGCTTATTTTGAGTAACTATGTAGTATTTGAAAGGGACCTGAGATTCTACAGTGGGCTCAGTCTCCATATCCTTACCCTTGGCCTGTGCTCTAGACTGCAGTCTGATACCTGCTTGCATGTTATACTTTGTAATCTAGGTGTCTTCCCTCAGGATGCTAGTTTCAGCAACTGTGTGGATGGTTATGCTAATCTCTTCTGCCTCCACTTCCTTGTGTAAGCCAGGTTTCTGAACTGTGGTGCCTCCTTTTTTAGTTTAGTTTTTTTTTTTTCATCCTTGTCCTCCAACAGAAAGTATCGTTTTTGCACCTCCCACTGGAGTCATTGGTTCTGTTTACTTCCAGTCTTGAAGTTGTTGAGTTTCACATCCTCTTGTCTGCCTTTGTTTTGGGCCCATTTTCTGCATGTAAATGCAAACACCTGTATTTAGTGTGTGTCTAATTCTTGGGGCCTTTCATCCAGTGTCTGTCTTCCACTGGCATCTCTGCACACTGCTCACACTGTGTTAGAGCACTAAGCTAAAAATTTAAAGTTTCCTAGTTATCTATCTCCCTGACACTGGCACCAGGCCTGGTACTGTAAGTTTCTCCTCCTTGATCTGTTCCTGTTTATCTTTTTTGCAGAATAAACCATAGAAAACCAGACAGAGACCAGCTGAAGCCAGGGGGAGGTAGAAGCCACAGGGTTAAGCCACAGACTCATTGCCACAGTAAAAAGCTTGCCCACCAGTACTATGACCAGTCTGGTCACAACAAAACTTGGAAGAAAAAAGGGTATTGTTATAGGACAGGGAGAGGGGCAGCCCAAACCCCGCAAACCTGCCTATTCTAAATGGGTTCTGCCATCCGCCGCATCAACAGAAAACATATGAGACTTTAATGGGAAGGAACTTTAATAAAACTAGGAAACAACACAGGTAAGGCAAAGAGTCTAGTTTCTAAATGAAGCACCCAAAGTTACCCATCCCCTCGTGGGTAAAAGTCCATCCAGATGGGATTGGCCCAGAGCAAGGCCCCAAAGCCTGCCACAAGTCTAAAGCATCTTCCAGTGGGGACCCACAAAAAAGGGTCAAAAACAACCAGACAAGCCCGGAAGGAAAAGAGCAAAATCAACATCAAGATAAAAGCTGCCATTGTCACCTCCCCATGAGTCTCACCCACATCTGTGTCACCCAGTCCACGACCAAAAGACAAGCACAGTTTCTTCACGTGTCTCTAGGCTCCATCCTGCTTCCTTCCTCAGTCTCTTCTGCTGCTTCTCTTCTTCCTGCTCAGCTCCACCCTCCCTTGGGTGGGGCAGGGAACCTCCCCCTTTCCTGGGGACCACCCTGTTACAGTATGAATGTAGTTCCTTGCAACCCTTGCCTATTTCCTCTCAAATCTTGCTGACACCTATGCTTTAGCCTCTCACCTTTTCTGTTTTCCTCCATATAAGTCCCTCTTCTCTCCAGTTTAGGGAGAAGACCTTTAAAGTCTGAGCTCCCGTCTCCATTCCTTGGCCAATGGATAAAACTCTCTGCTGCTTGAAGCTTAATTCATATGTTTTTCCTGGCTTGTTATTGTGTTGGATGGATAAAATAACTCAAACAGCTAATAACAATACTATTCCACAGTTAGCATGCTACCTACCACCATGCTAAGGTAAAAAATTTAGCTTAACACCTTAACAGCTGCACCAGGTGTTCTCGACCTTCCCAAACCCACCTCAGTGTTGGAATCCCATATTCCACCTACTCCCAGTCTTATCCAAACAAGCACACATTACGTTGAAATTAGCAACTAATTTCTTCCACTGAGGCGTTACTCTTCCCCTCTCCCTCAGGTTATATTTTAATCTAGAGCTACAGAATTTTTTAATTCTTGTCTTTCATGGCCAAATTATATTGCTACAGGGGCTAAAAATTCATGAAATCCAAAGTTTATCAATGACTTTTTCTAACATTAATCACTTCCCTCTTCCCTAGGGCAATATTCTTCAAAATGTAACTTGGAGAACATGCAAATTTGAAAAAGAAATTTAACTCCCTGATTTAATATTTGCAAAATATTACTCCCATCTGTACACTCTCAAAAAATGAAGCAAACATATGAAGCAAACATAGTCACCTGGCTATATAAAAATGTTTTTAAAGTCTTAACTGACAGCTTCATAAACAAATGTCTTACAGCTAGACTGAAGTTCTGTCTAGCAATCTGTGCTTTCTCTTTTTAACTTCTGTGAAAGCATGAATATTGTTACATTTATCATCTCTCAAAATGAAATTTTATGAATATATATTAAGTTTACATGGCTTATGTGTCTTAAATATATGGCATCTCAGAAAATAGCTTATCACATCTGGAGCAACTATTGTTATTATAACAATTTTAACAATTTTTTGCTATGATGTGTTATGAAGTTCTCATCAAGATAATTATAAAATAATAATAGATATACGTAGATGATTTATAGATAGATGGATGATTGATAGATTAGATAGATAGGATTGTATGGGGAAAGGATGGAATTTTGGGGGGGACAAATTGTGGTTGAATGAATTTCTTTCATGCTGAACCCCAACTCATCTTTTATTAGAAAATGTAGATTGTAATATGCCTTGAGGGAGAGGGGGAAGAGTAACACATGTTGGTGGAAGAAATCAGTTGCTGATTTCAACATGTGTGCATGATGGGGTAAGCGCTACTCAGATTTTGCCTGCACATAGTGAGCAGCTGGGAGATATTTGTGACAAATTGTTGAATGCCAACTATCAGGGTTTTCTGATAAAGAGGATGAAAGGCGAGGTTGTGGAGAAAAAGGAACTCTCCTGCACTGTTGGTGGGAGTGCAAACTGGTCCAGCCACTATGGAGAGCTGTGTGGAGATTTCTTGACCTACTAAACATAGAGCTTCCATATGATCCAGCAATTCCACTCCTAGGTATTTACCCAAAGGACACAGAAACATCAATTCCAAAGAGCACCTGCACCCCTATGTTTATAGCAGCACTGTTTACAATAGCGAAGCTTTGGAAACAACCCAAATGCCCAAAAATAGATGACTGGATCAAGAAGATGTGGTACATATACACCATTGAATATTACTCAACATTCAAAAAAGATAAACACATGCAATTTGCAATGGCGCTGGAAGGGATCAATGCTCAGCGAAGTAAGCCAGAAAAAAAAGAAAAATACTGGATGGTCTCACTCATTCATAGCAGGAATCTAGAAAACTTAAATAAGAGACCAGGAAAAAAGAATAACTATAAGAAAGTAAAAATCAAAATCAACAAACAACTATGAACCAGGGACACTCTATGGGGAGTGGGGGGCGGGGAGGGGAGGGATTGGGGTCAAAATAAGGGGGTTGCAATTGTATGGGGAATATAAAAATAAAATTTAAATTTAAAAAAAAAAAAGACAATGAATCATAGCAGGACAATCTTCGCATCCAGAGCCCAATAACCAGGTCGAGTAACTGTCCTAATCACAGAGAATTCTGGAGCTCTGCCCGCGAGGAACCAGGAAAAGGAACGGGATGCCGTTGACTACTGTGCCTTTCAGTCAGTGGTTATTAGAAACACTCCCCAGTCAAGAGCATCGCTTCCAGGGCGGGGGGCTGCGGAACTCACACCCGCCCACATCTGGATCCCCCGCCCCAGCTCGGCGCAAGGCACGCCGGGACACAACGCAGCTCAGCCACCGTCTCCGAGGCAACCGGCTAGCACGCGGTTGTTATGGAGACCGGTGGGCGCGGCGGAGAGCTTCGCAGAGCTGCCTTCTCCCGCAACCAGGCAAGATGCTCCGTGGAGGCTGTAAAGCCTCTGAAAGGCGAAGACACTTGAGCGATCAACTCAGCTGGCAGCAAGACCAGGCGCTGAGCAGCAACATTTACCTTCTGCGCGAGATCGGCCCCACCGGCTTCCTGCTGAGGGAGGAGGAGCCGGAGAACAGGGATTTCCGAGTAACTACCCCCCCAACTCGCCTCCCCTAATGCTCCGCCGACCCCTGGGGCCCCCTAGGTCCACCCCGTATGTAGCCACCTTCGTAATCATTGCGTACCCTTGGTTGTCACAGCGCGCCCATGGCCCCAAACATGTGCAGATTGCAAAGGAAAATGTGTTTTGTTTTGTTTTTTAAAGTTTCATTGTTGGAGTTTAGGGTTCTTGTAAAATGATAGCCACTGATCTGAAACTTGAAAAAGTGAGACGTTTTATATGAATATATGGTTTGCTTTTAGTACGTTCTTGGAACTGTTGTTAGCTATCACTAGTTCTATGACTCAAATATGAAATGAAAATCCAAAAATCTGTTTTCAAACTAGATATTTGCTAAACAAATTGTTTTTTTTTTTTCTTTACTATTTAGTTACTCGGAAGTTATAACAGGACTTTTAAATGCCGATGCCTCGGAAAGATTTTTAATGCATAAAACTTATTTTTTAAATTTTTGTTGAAGGACCACGGATATTTCATAATTGATATCCCAATCTCAGCACTCAAAAATCAGCCATCAATCTCACCTTAGCACCTCCCAGGAGGTGCTAAGGAAAATTTTAACTTAGTGTCATACATTTTAACTACCGAATACAAATTGCTAGCCTTAGTTTATTGAAAACATTCTTTTTTTACTTCATTACAACAATTGCTCAATTTAATAAATTGTTTTAGCCAACATAAGCTTGATGAATAAAATTACTACACTTGCTAAATAAAATTAAACTCACCAATTCAAATTTATAAAACAAACAAAAATCAAAGATGAACAACCTCACAGAGGTTTTCAGCTCCACTTCAAGGCAGAATTTCCTCTCAGAAAGAAATTTACACCAATTTTAAGCTTTAAAATTTAGATTTCCTTAAGTCATGGGATCTAATGTACAGCTTGGTGACTGTAGTTTATAATACTCTATTGTATGTTTGAAAGATACTAAGAGGGTAGATCTTAAGACTTATTGGTAAAGAAAAAAATTAACTGTATGTGATAATGAATGTTAACTAAACTTGCCGTGGTGATCATTTCACACTATGTCAAATAGTGAATCATTATGGTGTACATGTGAAACTAATGTTATATGCCAAATATACCTCAAAACAATCAATATGAAAGGCCTCGCCGGTGGCGCAGCGGGTTGAGCGCAGGGCTGTGAAGCTGTCTGCAGCCTCTGGAACGCTGGTTCGATTCCCTGCGGGCCAGGAAGATGCCCAGACAGCGTGTCAAGAGAAAAAAAAAAAAAAGATTTATTTATTCATGCATACAAAAACCAGGGTACAGGCCAGAGGCGTGGGAGGGTGAGAGGATTCATCAGAAAGAGAGCGGGGAACAGAACAGGCAGGCTGACTGAAAAACACACTGCTGAGGGGAGCAGCGGCCAAGACAAGAGAGGTCTGCCGCCATGTGGGACCCTCGCCAGCCGGCAGGGATCGAACCAGTGCTGCAGAGGCCACGGACAGCTTCACAGTGCTGCGCTTAACCGCCTGCTCCAACAGATATAAGATTTTCACCTGCCCGAGTGTAGGTTCTTAAAAAAAAGGTCTTAACTGATAATGCAAATTATTGACCAGGGCAAAGAATGTGGAAGTGACTCAGGCTGGTGCCAAAAGTTAAGATGTCCCAGTAGATTATATTCAGACTTTTGAAGTCATCTAAAGTAAATTACCTCTTAAAATCTAATTTAATGCAATTATCCATTAACTTAGTTACTCTTAACTGGAGTTTGTTGTTGTTATTGTTGTTGTTAAGTATACATTTTTCCTTTAAAGGTTTTTCTAGGAAATCCTCATGTTTGTAACTGCTCCACATTTTTGAAAGGAGAGGAGCTTTGTAAGCATATATGTTGGTAAGTGGCTTTGTAATAAAGATCTTCCACAAAGAAACATCTTTGCATTTTATATGTTTTGCCTTTTTCTTAGTTTGAATTCTGCAAGATTAAAGAAATTGGTAATGGGAGAATATAAAGGTAAAATAGTCTTAGTTTATTAAAATATCTTTAGGTATTTCTTTTCATTCCAAGAATTAAGGTTTAAGTGGACCAGTATACTACCACCTTTACATGTTTTGAGGATGAATTTTTTTAATTAGAAAAAATTAAAATTTTAGATTCTTGCTATACACAAATATGAAATCTTATCTAAAAAGCTTCCTGATTTACATCACCGTTGATCAGTACATGGTTCGTTATATTTTTTAAATTTAGTATCTTCCTTTTCAAAGTTTTTGACTATAAATCTTTCAAGATGGAAGTAGAACTATAAAAAAACATAAAATAAGTGGATTACTACTGTCAAATCTGAAATTTTTCCTCTAGTGTCAGAACCGTTTTGTAAGGAAATCCCCAAAAATGAAAAACAAAAATTATTTCCCTTTAGTTTAAATTCACTTTATCTACCTCTACTTATATCAATAAATCATTAATGTTATTATTATAGAAAACTTGCAATTGATACTTAAGGGGAAAAATTAAACAATAAATTGAGAATAGAGTCTCATATTTCTAATGTTTTGCTTTAGAAATATAATTTATTTTAGATCTCCCTGGTGGCATAGAGCTTAAGTCTCAGCACTATCACCGCTACAGCTGCCCATCCCCAGCCAGGAAGCTAGCCATATATGGTACAGCAAACCTCTCCTTTCTCCCCTGCTGCTCCCCTTAGCACTGTATTTCAGTAGATCCATCTGTTCTGCTCCTCACTCTGTCTTTGGTAAATCCTCTCACCCCCATACCTCTGGCCTGTACCCCAGTTCTTCTATGCATAAATAAATCTTTTTTTAAGTAATATATAATAAAAAAATTATTTATTCATGCATAGAAGAACTGGGGTATAGGCCAGAGGTGCTTAACCCATTGTGCCACGAGGGAGGCCATGAAAAAATAAATCTTAAAAAAAAATTTACATGGTAAAAAAATATAAATATATTTCTAGTGCTTTTATTTATTCTTTGTTTTGATCAGTTTTTATTGAGTATCTATTAGCATAAGTTGTTTGTCATAATTAAAGATAAATATGGTCCTTCCAAAACTTGCAATATGATTTTATTATTACACATAAAATAGGTTTGTCCCATTTTTGTTTTATGTTAGCTTCCTCAAGACAAGTGCCTTCATTTTGTCCTGATTTTTATGTAGTATAACTCCTCACTTTTTTATAGTATATGAAACATCTAAGTGGAAATATAATTCAAGTATTTAGTATACTGAATATACTTAATGTATTTAAGTAAGAATATAATATATATCCCCATTTTCAAAAAGTCATTGTGTTTTAATTGGTGACATTTAAAAGTATTTTTTTTCCTGTCATACATTGAAATGGTGTATTTATAGAAAAAAACATCATTTGGTATTCTATCCAGAAAAATACTGCATTTCCATAAGCAAGAAACTTTTGGGGAAGTTTATAAGAAGAGTTGTCTATATGTAAATTCCTTCATTAACGTCTCATTGAAACATACATGGTTTCTCTCTGGCACATCTCTTTACTGAAAATGTCTTTTCTTTCCATTTATCATACTTTTCACATGTGTATTTCAAAATGTAAGTCAGCTACTATAATAGAAAACATATGAGAATTTTAAATTTGTTCATAATAATTTCAGCAAAATCAAGTCTGTAATGTTATCCCTATTCTAAAATTAAAATTATATTGTTTGAGGTTATATCAAAAATAAATGTGCATTTTGTTTTTCTGTCTGTGAATAATAGGATCTTGTTGAAGAAATTCAAGCTTCCAAGGAGTCATGAATGTAAGTTTTCTTTCTATTAATTTGAAGGTAAAAAAATTAATACTTTATTACTTAGAGTCTAAATTTAAAATTAGACAATCTGACGACTATTCATAGGTGAATTTACACAAAACAACTGGAACATTCTTTCCAATGTAACAAAAAATTTAACTTTATATGCCACTTTCAAATTCAAACCAACTTAATTTAAAAAGGTGAAACCAGGCCTCCCTGGTGGTGCAGTCAGTTAAGCTGTCGGCAGCCTCTGCAGTGCAGGTTCGATCCCGGCCTGCCGGCAAGCTACCCACATGGCGAAGCAGACCTCTCCTGTCTTGCCCACTGCTCCCCTCAGCAGCGTATTTCATCAGTCTGCCTGTTCTGTTCCCCGCTCTGTCTCTGGTGAATCCTCTCACCCTCCCATGCATCTGGCCTGTTACCCTGGTTCTTGTATAAATAAATAAATCTTTAAAAAAAAAAAAAAAGTGAAACCAAGGACCAGTTATTTACTAGAAAAAAATCCCTCTTGTGTTACAAATGAAGATTCATGGTTGTTTCTGTATCTGACAATTTTTAATTGCAAGGAAAACAGCAAATGTAATTTTTTACATCACAGAATTAGTCACTTGATAGTACACATAACTTTATTCAGAAATGTTTATTGACTGAAATGTTCATGCAAATACATTTTTGTTCAAAGAATAGTTTTTATCTCACTACTTAATTTCTTTAGAGTCAGGCGTATAGTTGTGTAACTTCTAGAGCACACAAAAATAAAAGTGAAGGGGGGCCTCCCTAGTGGCGCAGGGGTTAAAGACAGCCCTATCAAGCTATTACCAGCCACTGTAGCACGAGTTCAATTCCCCAGCCAGCCAGGGAGGTGACTTACATGGTGCAGCAGACCTCTCTTGTCTAGCCTTCTGCTCCCCTCAGCAGTGTATTTCGGTAGATCTGCCTGTTCTGCTCCCCACTCTGTCTCTGGTGAATCCTTTCAACCTGAGTAAATTTTGAAGACTACAGAGATAATTACTCAGGAATTGTATTATAATCATAGCAGTTTTTGAATAGTGAGTATTAGTTTTTCTAGTATGTAACAGAAGTTTCCCAGCAAAACAGATTTTGTACCAGGTATTTCTTCTAAATACTAAATACAATGCCTAGTAAATGCCACCTGTTCTTGCCTTTAATGTTAAGTATTAATATTTTGTGTCTGTTATCTTTTGGTATTACCAAACTGGTCATTAACATACTTTTGTTAATTTTATCAATCTATCAATTTCTGCTAGTTTTGTTTGTTTCTTGAATTCATATTTTAGGTATATTTAACCATATTATTTAAAGTATATAATGAGAGAGAGAGTAATATCTGTTTAAGTCCCCAAGGAAAATAATTAAAGATGCACAGAAATATATTGAAATGCTAATATTCCTACAATAATGGGGCAGAAAACTAAGTCACACAAAGCAGGAAAAAATGTCAGATACAAAGTTTATAGTATTCTTCATTCTTAGTAAATTAAATAAGGAAATTGTTTGCATTCTTCTGTACATCTAATAATCCTTGCAAGATCTAAAATGCCTTCAAATAACTTTAAAAAAAAAACATAAAGCAAACAAAACATATTTTGTTATTGCATCCAATAGGTTTTTATTCCGTGTCTGTCTTATTCTTTTTTTTTTTTAGATAATAAATTTTATTGTTATATTCCCCATACAATTGCAGCGCCCCCATTCTGACCCTAATCCCTCCCCTCCCGCCCCTGCCCCCCTAAAAGTGTCTCTGGTTCATAGTTTTTTGTTGATTTTGATTTTCACTTTCTTATAGTTATTCATTTTCCTGGTCCCTTATTTAAGTTTTCTAGATTCCTGCTATGAGTGAGACCATCCGGTATTTTTCTTTTTCTTTTTGGCTTATTTCGCTGAGCAGGATCCCTTCCAGCGCCATCCATGTTGCTGCAAATTGCATGTGTTTATCTTTTTTGAATGCTGAGTAATATTCCATGGTATATATGTACCACATCTTCTTGATCCAGTCATCTATTTTTGGGCATTTGGGTTGTTTCCAAAGCTTAGCTATTGTAAACAGTGCTGCTATAAACATAGGGGTGCAGGTGTTCTTTGGAATTGATGTTTCTGTGTCCTTTGGGTAAATACCTAGGAGTGGAATTGCTGGATCATATGGAAGCTCTATGTTTAGTAGGTCCAGAAATCTCCACACAGCTTTCCACAGTGGTTGGACAAGTTTGCACTCCCACCAACAGTGCAGAAGAGTTCCTTTTTCTCCACACCCTCGCCAACATTTGTTGTTGCTAGTTTTTTTAATATGTGCCATTCTCACTGGTGTGAGATGGTATCTCATGGTAGTTTTGATTTGCATTTCCCTGATGACAAGTGATGTTGAACATTTTTTCATATGCCTGTTGGCCATTTGCATTTCCTCTTCAAAGAAGTTTCTTTTTAGCTCTTCTGCTCATTTTTTGACTGGATTATTTTCTTTGTTGTTGTTGAGTCTCATCAGCTCTTTGCAGATTTTTGTGATCAGTCCTTTATCATTAGTGTTGGGTGCAAAAATGTTCTCCCAGTTGGTGGGGTTTCTCTCTGTTTTTGTTATTGTCTCTTTTGCTGTGCAGAAGCTCTTTAATTTGATGTAGTCCCAGCTGTTTATCTTCGCCTTCACTATCACTGCTTTGGGTGATGTGTCTGTAAAGATGTCTTTGATGTGCAAATCACGTAGTGTTTCGCCTATATTTCCTTCTATATATTTTATGGTTTCAGGTCTTATGTCTAGTTCTTTAATCCATTTTGAGTTGATTTTTGTGTATGGTGTGAGGTAGTGGTCAAGCTTCATTCTTTTGCATGTAGCGACCCAGTTTTCCCAGCACCATTTATTGAACAAACTTTCTTTGCTCCAATGCATAGTCTTTGCTCCTTTGTCAAATATTAGTTGACCATAAATCTGTGGGTTTATTTCTGGATTTTCTATTCGATTCCATTGGTCTGTATGTCTGTTCTTGTTCCAATACCATGCAGTTTTGATGATTATGGCTTTGTAGTATAGTTTGAAGTCTAGGAGTGTGATGCCTCCATTCCCTTCTCTTTTTTTCAGGAGAGCTTTGGCTATTCGGGGTTTTTTGTGATTCCATATGAATTTCATCAATAATTGTTCTATTTCTTTGAAGAATGACATTGAAATTTTGATTGGAATAGCATTGAATCTGTATATTGCTTTTGGAAGGATGGCCATTTTAATAATGTTTATTCTTCCAATCCATGAGCAGGGTATATCTCTCCATTTCTTTGTGTCTTCTTCTATTTCTTTTAACAGTGTTTTATAGTTTTCTTTGTATAGGTCCTTTACCTCTTTTGTTAGATTTATTCCCAAATATTTGATTTTTTTTGTTTCAATAACGAAAGGGATGGTTTTTTTGATTTCTTCTTCTTCAGATTTATTGTTTGTGTATAGGAAGGCTACTGACTTTTGCATGTTGATTTTGTATCCTGCCACTTTACTGAACTGATTGATGAGTTGAATTAGCTTTTCTGTGGAGTTTTTGGGGTTCTCTATGTATAATATCATATCGTCTGCAAATAGTGATAGTTTGACTTCTTCTTTTCCTATTTGGATTCCTTGGATGTCTTTCTCTTGTCTTATTGCCCTGGCTAGGACTTCCAGTATTATATTGAAAAGCAGTGGTGAGAGTGGACATCCTTGTCTTGTTCCAGATCTTAATGGAATTGCTTTCAGCTTTTCACCATTGAGAATGATACTGGCTGTTGGCTTGTCATAGATGGCCTTTATGATGTTAAGGTATGTTCCTTGTATCCCAAGAATTTCAAGGGCTTTTATCATGAATGGGTGTTGCACTTTGTCGAAAGCTTTCTCAGCATCTATTGATATTATCATATGGATTTTATATTTCTTTTTGTTGATGTGTTGGATAACGTTGATTGATTTTCGGATGTTAAACCATCCTTGTGTCCCTGGAATGAATCCTACTTGGTCGTGGTGAATTATCTTATGGATACATTGTTGGATTCTGATGGCTAAAGTTTTATTGAGGATTTTTGCATCAGTGTTCATTAGGGAGATTGGCCTGTAGTTTTCCTTTTTTGTGTTGTCCTTGTTCGGTTTTGGTATTAGTGTAATGTTGGCTTCATAGAACGTGTTTGGTATTGTCCCTTCCTTCTCAATTTTTTGGAAGAGTTTGTGAAGGGTAGGCACTAATTCATCTCTGAATGTTTGGTAGAATTCATTTGTAAATCCATCAGGTCCTGGGCTTTTGTTTTTGGGGAGGTTTTTGATTACCATTTCAATTTCGCTAATTGTAATTGGTCTGTTTAGGTGTTCTATTTCTTCTTTATCTAGCTTTGGGTGATTGTAGAGTTGTAGGAATTTGTCCATCTCCTCTAGATTGTTAAACTTGTTTCCATATAACTGTTCATAGTAGTTACTGATTATTCTTTTGATTTCTGCTGTGTCCATTGTGATTTCTCCTCTTTCATTGATGATCCTGTTTATTTGTGCTTTCTCCCTTTTTTCCTTCGTGAGCCTGGCTAGGGGTTTGTCTATTTTATTGATTTTTTCAAAGAACCAGCTCTTGGTTTCATTGATCTTTTGGATTGTTTTTTTAGTTTCAATTTCATTTATTTCTGCTTTGGTTTTTATTATTTCTTTTCTTCTACTGGTTTTGGGGTTTTTTTGTTGTTCTTTTTCTAGATCTTTGAGCTTCGAGATTAGGTTGTTTCTTTGAGTTCTTTCTTGTTTCTTGATGTGAGCTTCTATTGCTATATATTTTCCTCTTATTACTGCTTTTGCTGCATCCCATACATTTAGGATATTGGTGTCCTCCTTGTCGTTCAATTCAAAAAATTTTTTAATTTCTTCTTTCATCTCCTCATTAGTCCAGTGGTCTTCCATTAGTGTGGTTTTTGATCTCCATGAGGTAGGAAAGTTCCTTGCCTTCTTTTTATGGTTTATTTCTAGTTTGATGCCTTCATGGTCAGAAAAGATGGTTGATATGATTTCAATCTTGGTGTATCTGTTGATGTTTGTCTTGTGCCCCAGTATGTGATCGATCCTGGAGAATGATCCGTGTGCGCTTGAGAAAAATGTGTACTCCGTTTTTTGGGGGTTTAGTGTTCTATAGATGTCTGTTAAGCCCAATTGCTCTAGGTCCTTATTTAGAGCTTTGGTTTCTTTACTTATTTTTTGTCTTGTTGATCTATCCATTGTTGATAGTGGTGTGTTGAAGTCTCCCACTACGTATGTGTTTTCTCTGATGTCTGTTTTCAGAGAGGACAACAGTTGTCTGATATATTTTGGTGCTCCTTCGTTTGGTGAGTATATGTTAATGTTATTTCTTCTTGAAGTATTGTCCCCTTGATCATAATGTAGTGACCATTGGGGTCTCTTTTTATCTTTTTGAGGTTGAAATCTGTTTTATCTGATATAAGTATAGCTGTTCCTGCTTTCTTTTTTGGTCCATTTGCTTGTAGGATTGTTTTCCATCCTTTAACTTTGAGCCTATTTTTATCTTTTGTAGTTAAATGTGTTTCCTGGAGACAGCAAAAGGTTGGGTTTTGTTTCTTAATCCAGGCTGCAACTCTGTGTCTTTTTATTGAAGAGTTTAGTCCATTAACATTTAGAGTTAATATTGATATGTTAACATCTGTATTTGCCATTGTGTTTGTCTTTCCTTTGATTTTATTTATTTATTCTTTTAATAACTTTTTTTTTTTTTGGCCTTCTTTCATTGTTATTCGTCCCTCTGAGGTTCTGGCTTTAGGACTCCTTATAGTATTTTTTGGAGTGGGGGTTTAGTTGCAATGAAATTCCGGAGTTTCTGTTTGTCTGGGAAAGTCCATATTCTTTCTTCAAAGAGGAAGGAGAGCTTTGCGGGATAGAGTATTCTTGGTTGGCATCTGTTTTCTTGGAGTCTGTTGACTATGTCCCTCCACTCTCTCCTTGCCCGTAGTGTTTCTTCGGAGAAGTCTGATGTCAGCCTGATTGGCTTTCCTTTGAATGTTATCTGTTTCTTCCCTCTTGCCAGCTTCATTATTTTTTCCTTGTCCTGGATTCTTGGGAGCTTTACTATTATGTGTCTTGCTGTATTTTTCCTTTCGTCATGGAAGTTTGGTGTTCTTCTTGCTTCTTGTATATCAATTTTCAGCTCCTCCTTCACGTTTGGGAAGTTCTCTTCAATTATCTCTTTGAATATTTTCTCTGTTCCTACTTCTCTCTCCTCTCCTTCTGGTATTCCTATAACTCTTATATTTCCTTTCCTCATGGAGTCAGATAGTTCCCGAAGTCTTTCTTCATTCTTTTTCCTTCGTACTTCTCTTTCCTTTTCTGTTTTCTTTTTATTTCTGTGTCTTCAAGAGTACTTATTCGTTCTTCCATTTCATCAATTCTGCTTTCATTGCTTTTCCCAGAATTCTTTAGTTCTTCCATTAATTCTTTGATCTCCTGCATTTCTTTTACTTCCCTCTTTAGGGACTCAATTTCATTCTTCTGATCGTTGATTATTTTTCCCTTATCATTGTTTTCCTTTATGACTTCTGTCAGTTTTTTAATCACGGCAATTTTAAATTCTCTTTCTGGAAGGCTCAGAAGTTCTTCCAAGTTACTGTCGTTGCAATCTGGGGGCTGGTTTTCTTTTTGTGGTGTGCTTTTTCTCTGGAGAGTTGCTAGGTTGCGTGTGGTTCTTCTCCTCCCTACTGTCTGTTTTCTAATTTGCCGTATGCGTTGGGACACTGTGTTGTTGGGACTGGCCGGCATCTTGGGTGGGCTTCTCTGCTCCCCTCTGGTTCCTCCAGGAGTCATCTGTCAGTTTCAAGCAGTCTTTACTGGAGAAAGGTCCCTGTTCTAAAATGCCGATGTGGGGACACACTCCCCTGTGCGCCTGGTCTGCCCCGGCGGTGGGTTCCTGCTCCCCCTCTGCGCTTGGACTGCAGGCCAGAGGGGGTCTGGCGTGGGCGAACTTCCCCTGCTCACCTCTGGCTCCTGAGGAAGCCTTCTGCAGGTAGTCTTTACTGAAGAAATGTCCCTATTCTATAATGGTGATGTGGGACACACTCCCTGCGCGTCCGGTCTCAGGCACACTCTTCTGCGCGCTTGGTCTGCCCCGGCTGTGGGTGCTCGCTCTCCCTGTGGGCTCAGACTACTTGTTTGGAAGGGGCCCAGCGTGGGCTAACTCCCCAGCTGGCCACTAGCTCCTTCAGGAGCCTGTGGTGGCTTCAAGTCGCTAGGTGGCGCCAGAGATATCTCCTAGAGCCCTTGGGGAGCTGATTTTCCACCCTGTGGGACAGGGAGCAGAGCAGGGATGGTAGGGTACACCTCAACGGCTTTGGGGTGCTGTGTCTGCCTTGTGCCCCACCGTCGTGGGGAACCCACGCCCCTAATTTCGTGCCCCGGGTCTCAGTTCCAAAGCCCTCAGTTCCAGGACGCGGGCTGTAGCCCAGATCAGTGGCGCGGGAATGGCGCCTTTTGAATCCCGCTCCCCTGCCTGGGCGCCTGATTCCTGCTCACTCGGGGAGGGCCTCCGCGCGTCTCCCCGCAAGCCTAGGTCGCAGGCGCGGGGACCTGGGCAGCTGCGATCCGATCCGGACCCGCGTTTGCTTTTCAACCGCACTGCTTTTCAGCGCGATCCGCGCCGCTTTCCCGCGCAATCCTGATCCGCGTCTGTTTTTCCAGCGCGCCGCTTTCCGCGCAGGCTTACCGGGCGGCCGGGGCTGTGTGCTGGTGCTGGTCTCCTCCTGGGCGGGGTCTCTCTTCAATGGCGCCCGGAGCTCACCTCCGCGGCGGATCCTGCAGGGTTCTCCACAGCTCCTGTTCACGGGGTGTGGTGGCTGAAATAGTTCCTTTCCACTCACAGTCCCGCTTGCTGCGTCGTTTGTTCTTGTTGGCCGTTTTGGTTTGTTGTTTTCCTCCTCTCTGCGGTCGGAGAGTGCCGCCTCTGTGGGTGGGAGAGGGGAGCAGGGTTCTGCGCTTCCCTCCCTTCTGGTCCTCTTTTATGGCAACTTTCTTCTTCGGGCAGTTTGCTGGAGTCGTCCGTTTATCTTCCGTATCCCGCCGTGTCCCGGTTCTCACTGGGACCTGCCGCTTTTCCTCCCTATTAACTTTTTTTAATGGGAGATCTTACTCGCAGCGTCTCCTTGCCGCCATGTTGCTCCGCTCCCCCCCCCCCCCCCGTCTTATTCTTATTTTGACTCGCTTTATTTAATGTTAATTAAATTGAAATTCTTCTTTTGCTTTGTTTGCTGTTTATACTCATGTGTGAGTTGTATTTTGCTATTTATTTACTGGAATATAACTACAGACGCTTCATAAATATAAGGCTTGTCCCTCTTTGCAAATGTTTTTCTACTGTTATAATTCTGCTTGATATCTCTATATTAAAGAATGAATAAGATGAATAGAACTCAGGAGGACCAATAACAGCTGGTATTTAGATTATGGCATGTTAAGGGTAGTGATAGGGAAAGGAGCATTGGGATAGAAGAGGGAATACAGAATTTATAATGCCCTGATAAAAATTATATACACTTAAAGCACAACTTCTTATCAGGATAGCAAAATGCAGAAAATTCAGAATTCAAAGAACATACATCTGAAGAGTACAGACAATATATTTCTGAATAGCTTGTCCTGAGGAAGACTAATTGTGCTTAGGCTACCAAGACGCTCTTATAAAAACATGAAAACTAAGACAGGAAAATAAACACAATTAATTGAGTCTTATTCTTCCATTATCCATTCATTCACTTATTCATTTAACAAATATTAACTGTACTAACTACTTACAAGTCTCTTTCCCCTTTATGCATTTGTACCCATTTCTGTTAATACTCTTGCATGTTGATAAACTGCTTATAAAAAAGTGAACAAGTCAAAACGTTGATTGTAACACTAATCCAAGGATGAATGCTATCATATAATTAATCGAAACTCCTTATAATACACTATTTGCACTGACTTTTTTCAGTAATAAGATAAAAATAGACAATTTCAACTTTTTTCTTAACTTTTGGCTCTGAAAGGCGTACAAAAAAGTGGTAAATGTCAGTGTAATAATTCAACCAAACTCATCTTTCTAATATTTGAAAGAGAATTCTAACCTGCAACGTAAGTTACATTTCTGTATCTCCAATTTTGCCACTGAGTTAACATTTTGGGATTTTTTCACTAGCTGCTTTACAGTTAGGTCTCGTGGAAGGAGAAATTGACGACTTACTTCGGGGGATACATAGACTTCAAACACCCCAACGTGAAATGAAAGATGAAAATGTGCATGTTGAAGAAGATGGGTGTGTTAAACAGAAGGAAATTGGTTCAGAGGATATCTGCCCTATTTGTCAAGAAGTGCTTTTAGAGAAAAAACTTCCTGTCACTTTTTGCAGGTGACAGGTTTTTTTCTTTGAATCTTAAAAATTTAAGAAAAAATTGTCATGTGTTTATAATTGATTCTTTTGAGATATGTTGCTAGAGAAACAAGAGAAACCTTTACCTATGGTTTATTTATAATTAGCCACTTTTTGTTTCCTGACATAACTATTGTAAGAGTTTCTGTGGGGTTCTGTTCTTACTCTAAATTCTTCTGGGATATATATACATATATATATATATATATTTTTTTTTTTTAAGATTTATTTATTTATGCAGACAAGAACTGGGTTACAGGCCAGAAGTGCAAGGGGGTGGGAGAGAGGATTCACCAGAGACAAGAGTGGGGAGCAGAACAGTCAGATCTACTGAAATACAGCAGGAGAGTCAGAAGAGGTCTGCTGCGCCATGTGGGTCACCTCCCTGGCCGGGAATCAAATTCGTGCTGCAGTGGCTGTGGATTGTTCATAGTGCTGAAGCTTAACCCCTTGTGCCACCAGGGAGACCCTCTGGGATATATTTATATTTATATATTTGAAATGTAACTCCTCTTTATTACCTTTTTTATCTTTAGTTATTAAAGTAAGATAATTTTCACGTTTGTTTTATACATATGAATAAATGAATAGTTTAGAGTAGTTAGAAAGAATTTCCTGAAAGTAATTTTATTTTTAAAAAGTGAAAGAAGTATCTTACTTTAAAATGATAAAAAATACTTCTCATTGTTTAAAAATTCCATCTTTAAATCTAAATAATTCACAATTTTACTTATGCTCAATGTTAAGAGTGTGATATTCTTATTATCCTTTAAGGGACTATCAAGTTGGACTTGGAAAATGTGACCATTTGCCACTGAATATTTTTTTCTCCTGATGATTTGCCAAAATTTTCATTATCATTATAGTTTTTCATGTGACTGCTTCTGTTGTATATATTTAAATTATTAACTCTTTCCAACAGCGTTATTTATTCCAGTAGCTATTTTTGAATTCTATCACATACTGTATCATTTCTAGGAAAATAAGTTGACATCCCTTTTCTCAGTGATGCATTGTTTCTAAATAATAACTGTTAAAATTTTCCTTTTTGTCAAAACAATACTTACTATCACTTTGAAAAATGAAAATTATGTTAGTGATGGAAAGTATTTTACCATTATTTCATTGGAATAGGAGAGAGTTTAGAATTTTGATTGCTAAATTAACGAAGATCAATATAAAACTATTTATGTTAATCAACCTGTATCTGGAAATCAGTTCAAAGTCAAATTTTATGGGAAATCAAGCTGGTAACACAGAAAATTTTATTTATATAAATCTATACAACTTTGTTGTGTCCAAACAATAAACTTGAAATTTATCTTTGACAGGTTTGGCTGTGGCAATAGTGTTCATATAAAATGCATGAAGATCTTAATGAATTATCAAGACATGATATCGACCACATCGATGTTAAAATGTCCTCTATGTAGGAAAGAGTTTGCACCATTAAAACTAATTTTAGAGGAATTCAAAAACTCTGGCAAACTTATGACTACAGCTGAAAGAGAGCGACTAGACAGACACCTTGGAATTCCCTGTAATAACTGTAAACAGTTTCCAGTTGAGGGGACATGTTATAAGTAAGTGTCTTGAGAAATATTATAAATATATATATTTTTTAACTTTATGTAGTTGGGCAGTTAGCCTGCTTTCTTCCAATAGGCTGTATATCCTATAGGAATTTAGAGAAAGATAAATAAAAGCTAAAACATTCCAGGAAGACATCAAGGAAGGGATGTGATAGGTCAAATAATACCCTCCCAAGTATGTCCACATCCTTATGCCTAGAATCTGTATATTAGGTTCCCTGTAATAGGGAATTAGATTGCAGGTGGAGGTAAGGTTGCTATTCACCTGACCTTAATAGAGAGAGATTGTTCTCTATTCTATGGGCTCTGTATAATCAAAACTATTCTTAAAAGGGCTTCCCTTTTAAGGAATCTAACCAGAAGAGTGAAGCAGAGAAGCAAGGCAGAGGGAAATGTGACTAAGGAAGAAAGGTACAGAGAAATGTTGCAATAATTGTTTTGAATATGGAAGAAAAAGTCACAAACTAAGATAAGGAATATAAACAGCATCTAAAGCTTCCAATAAGAACTGCAACCCTGTGAACCCATTGAGTGTAACCCACATCAAAATTCTGTCCTACAAAACTAAGATAATAATTTGTGTCAAACTGCTAGATTTGTTGTAATTTGTTATGGTAGCAATAGGAAGCTAACACCAGCTGAAAGTTGAGATAGACTGGGCCATATCTACATAGTTTTCAGGAAATTTTGCAAGAATTCTTCACTAAAACCATCAAAATAACTGAAATTTTGGTATATGTTGGTGTTTTGCTTTTTAGGTGCACAGAATGTATAGAATATCACTTATGCCAGCGATGTTTTGATAGCTGCTGCCATCTTTCTCATTCATTTACTTTTCGTGAGGTACAGTATCCATCCTGAATTTCATATGATGTTTATGTTTGTCCTGTTGCAAATATAAGTAAAACAAATCTAAGAATACTAAGAATGGAAACAGTCTAGAATAGAGCTGATTAGTTGTCATTTTTTTTACATTGTTCATTTTTATACAGTATTTGGTTACTCACCTTAGTCCTCCCACCACCAGCTCACCCATGAACCATTACCTTTTTTTTTTAAAAAAAGATTTATTTATTTATTTATACAAGCACTGGGCACAGTCAGAAGCATGGGAGGGTGAGAAAATTCACCAGAGCTAGAGGGGAGAGCAGAGCAAGCAGATTGATGAAGTACACTGCTGAGGGAAGCAGCGGGCGGCAGGAGAGGTCTACGCACCATGTGGGACCCTCGCCCGGGGCCGGGGCATCGAACTGATGCTGCAGAAGCTGCAGGAAGCCTCGCAACCCAGCGCTCAACCACTGCGCCACCGGGGAGGCCCACCATTACCTTTTATAGAGTTGATTAGTTTGTTTGTTTTGGTTTGTTTTTATTGCTGATTAATTTTTAATAAAAACCCAAGGCTATATTTTTATGAAAACTCTTTTCATAGAGAAGTACAAGACAACCAGTTCTCATACTAGAAATTTATAAAATCCAACACAACAAAAACCTGATGACATTGTACGTACATCATATGGATAGGAATTGCAGCCATCAAACTTGAAAATTAAATTTTAAAAGCTATGTCAACTTATAACTTATGACTTATAACATATTGACATTTATGGCCTAAAAATTTCTTACATCAACAGTATGAAATTCCTGGAATTTTATTGTAATCATTTGAAGTATACACTTAAAAATTAAATATCTCCTGGTGCTGAATAATAATGCTACCTTCTACTTACTACACAAGACAAACATTCATAATTATCATTTTTAATATTTTTAAATATTTTAAGTGAAATTATGGTAGTTGTGTAACTATTAGCTCACTAATATTTGTAAATTTTTAATATAACAGCTATACTTAAAAATGATGTCTTTATTGTGTATTATATTGTTACTGATGTGAAGTCTACTAATATTAATCCACAAAATAAAAATTTCCATTATTTGCAAAGTAACATCTACTTTTTGGCAATTACAGAAGAGAAATAAAAAGTGGAGATCATTAGAAAAAAGATCAGATGATATTGTAAAATGCATAGATATTCAAAAAGAGATAGAAGAAAAGATGCCACATTTTAAAGAAAAGCAAGGGTGAGATTCTCAGTAAAATATATAGTTCTTGTATGACTTGTGATATTTAAATACTTTTGAAACTGATATTGAGGTTGAATCTGTCTTGTTCAATATTGATACAATAGGGTTTTTTTTTATCATTTTATAATGTATAAGGTTTCAGTTCAAGGAAACTGTGTTCATTTGTATTATTTATATTGAAGTTTTTACCTGTGCCTTTGATTACTTCCTGTTCTGCAGTTGCATATGCATATTTATGTCTCTCTGCTTATTCTCCTTCAGCCAGGTTTACACACCAAAACACGTGGTAAAATCACTGCCTCTTTTACTGATCACAAAGAATAGTAAGCTGCTTGCTCCAGGCTACCAATGTCGACTTTGTTTGAAGGCATTTCGTCTTGGCCAATATACAAGACTGCTACCATGTGCTCACAAGGTAGAAATCTATCACTTTAGTTTGATTTTCACTGAAGGTGCAGTTTTCACAAATGAAGTAACAATTTAAGTCTGGCCTTTCGTTTTTTAGTTGTATTATATGCAGAGATTTTCAGATTGGACTGTATAGATAGAAAAGCTATAGAAAAGACTGCTGAGAAAATAGCTCTACCCCCTCAAGATAGGTTCCCATGGACAGGACTCCTTTCTTATGTTCTATCTAGGAAAGATAAAATGGCACTCTAAGTTATATTCTTTTATCTATGTCAGTTACCTATAAAAAAGGAAAAGCTTACAGAATACTAACTTTTTAATGTACTTTTGTGATTGTTTTGATGACACAGAACTGCATAATTTGACAAAGTTCATTATTTCAAATAACCTCTCTGGAATCAAAGTGTAATGTTACCGATCACTATATAGTCAGTGAGTAGGTTTTTTTCCGAAGCAGTTATTTCAATAAAGATAATGTATAGATTGAGTCACACTTACTTAAAATATCTAATAGTTTGTTTTCTTCCCAAGAATGTCATTTGTTATTTTATATGTTAGAAGCATCAAATTCATTTTCAATTCTACTTGGTTATTTTTTAAATTACTTAATAATTTTCATTCATTAGAAAGCAGCAATGAAATTAATGGCTTGAATAAGTAGTACATTTTTAACATTACAAAATTACAAACATGATATTCATAGAAGACTTCATTTTAACCTTGAAGATGGAAATCAGTCCAGAACTAAGACATTATTAAATGAACCTCTCCAAATTATTTCCATAAAACTTGACAAATTATTATTACCTTCCATTTTTGTTAAATAATTTTTGTAGTAACACAATAATGAAAATTTACATAGAAAATATACATCAAAAACAAGATGATTGTATCTCTATTAACTTACAACTTTCTCTTTAAAGTTTCATAGGAAATGTATTGACAGTTGGTTATTCCACAAATGCAATTCATGCCCTATTGATGGACAAGTTATATTTAATCCTTTAATCTGGAAAGATAAAGCAGTGAATGGACGCTCACATCCACCTGTCTCAAGTATGGATATCACTCATCTGTCAAAAGAGGAGGAACCAGAACTATTTATTCCTGGCACCAAATTAGTCTTAAAACAAAATAGACATGGGATTTTACCTTGCACACCTCAGTGCAATTCTGAAAAGTTGAAGACACCCCAAAGTCCAACAGAAACCTATCAAAATACAAAAATAGATGAACTAAATTCTATCAAATCAGAAGATTCAATTTCAAGAAAATTAATCTATGAATATAAAATAAGCCAACATTTCCCCAGGTATCTTCAAGACTTGCCCTCTAGATCCTATGGGAAAATTTCATCTCAAACATTCCTTCCTTCTATTGATCACAAGAATGTTACATGTCCCACTGCAAAGGAAAGTTCATGTATCAATAAAAAATTCCATTCTGGTCAAAGTCATAAAATGAACAAAGACTGTAAAAGTAATAGCAAACTAAACAATCTTGATACTAAAATAAAAGATGGCAACAGGCGATCAAATACATTATTTTCAGAAGATTTAAATCTCATTGTCAGTTGGGGTACAACAAATCTTAGTTTGGCTAAAAGGTGTAATAATTGTTTGGGGAGGGTTAGACATCTGTCATCTGTCAAGAAGGCCTGTAGCTCACCCTTTAAATACAAAAACTACTGAGATAGCTTTAATATTGGAAGGAGTTCAGTTATGAAAATATGTCTTTGGCTAATATCAAAAAACATTTGAATATTGAGCACAAAATATTTTATTTATAGAACATGAAGACTATACACTTGACAAATGTATATAGAATTCTCTGTTGTCATTTTGTCTGCTTGTCTATGAATAACTAAACTTAAAGGAAATGACCCCATTCCTTATAAGACTGAAGGCTTTAGGTGTCTTGATAAGTATGTTGAAATTGCTATGAATTATGAATAATTGTAGAACTTTTATATCTGATTTTACATTGATTAAAAAACTTCAAATTAAAGAAATATATTTTCCTTGCTTTTAAGAAACTATTTTCAAATATTCTGTTCAATAAAATATAACATGCAGGGATTCTATTTAGATAGCTGTGTTTTTTATATTTCACTTTTATTTTTTATTTAACATTGGTTTGTGACATTATATAGGTTTCAGGTATACAGACTTTTATATCAACATTTGTATATACTATTCTCATTACCAAAAAGTGATTACTCTACAGTTGGCCCCTTTTATCCAATTTACCCACCCCACTTCCCCCTTCCTGTTTGGTAACCACTGTTTTCTTCATGTAGTCTGTTTGTTTTTGTTTGTTTTTGTTAGTTCATTTGTTTATCAAATATGAGTGAAATCATATGGTATTTGTCTTTCTCCATCTGATTCATTTCCCTTAGCATAACACACTTTAAGTCCATCCCATATTGTTGCAAATGATAGAATTTCATTTTTTTTTAATGATAGCTGAATGGTATTCCATTATGTGTATTGTATATGCCAAATCTTCTGTCTCCATCTAACACACTTACATTGTTTCCAACTCTTGATGCTGCAATGAATGTAGGGATACATATATTTCTTTAATCTAATGTTTTGGGTTTTGTTTTGTTGTTTTTGTTTGTCTTTCTGTTACATACTTAGTAGTGGGAGAACTGGATCATATGGTATTTCTTTTAACTTTTGGAGGAATATACATACTGTTTTCCATAATAACTGTACCAGTGTACATCCCCACCAATAGTGTGTGAGGGTTCTTTTCTCTTTGCATCCTTGCCAGCATTTGTTGTTTCTTGTCATTTTGATCAAAGTCATTCTCATGAGTATGAGGCAATATCTCATTGTTTTGAATTCTATTGCCTTAATAAAAATGGATGCTGAACTTCTTTTCATGTTTCTATTGACCATCTGTAATTCCTCTTGAAGAAGCATCTATTCAGATCCTCTGCCCATTTATTATTTGGTTTGCTTTGTTGTTGTTGATGATGAAGATGAGTTTTATTCACTCTATGTATTTTTATGTTAACCCTTTACCAGATACATACTTTAAAAATATCTTTTCCCATTCATTAAATTGCTTGTCATTTTAATAATGACTTCTTTCACTATACAGAAACTTTTTAATTTGATGTAATCCCATATGTTTACTTTTGCTTTTGTTTCTTTAGCCACTGAGTTGTAATCACAAAGACACGACTAAGGCTAATGTCAAAGAGCTTGTCACCTGTATTTTCTTCTATGTACTTTATGGTTTCAGGTATTATAGTTAAGTCTTTAGCCCATTTTGAGTTAATTTTTGTGTATGCTGTATTACAGTGGTCTAGTTTCATTCCTTTGCATGTGATCATTTTACCTAAAGCAATATATGGATTCAATGCAATCCCTATTAAAATCCCAATGACATTCTTCAAAGAAATAGAGCCAAAATATCGTAACTTATGTGTAACTTAAAAAAACTTGAATATTTTTAATAAATCCTGAAGCGGGGGACAAAAATGGAGGTATCAGATTCCCCAACTTCAAACTAGAAAGTGATAATAGTCAAAATAGTATGATATTGTGGGAAAGGAAGACACACAGACCAGTAACACAGAATAGAACTCAGAAATAAACCCCCACATATATGGAGAATGAATTTATGACAAAGGAGATAAGAGCATAAAATGAAGTAAGGGCAATCTCTTCATAATGGTGCTGAGAAACTGGACTGCCACATGCAAATGAATGAAACTGGGTCACTATCTTACTCTATGCATTTTTTTGTGTACTAATAATTACAGTAAACCTATAGTAATATCCTGATGGTGGTTTTCTTTTTACTTAATTTCCTTAAAGGCATTTTCTTATACATCAAATGAAAATAAAATAAATTCTCTGTTATGCCACATTAGTATCTGTAACATAACTATTGCCAAATTCTTTGACACAATCAATATTAAAGCATGTGCATTATTTTTAAAGATATTTTCTAGCATTTTTCCTTGTTATTTACCTAACTATTGAGTGTCTAACAATTTTTTTAATTGAGTAACTTTTGGTTTATGACACTGCTTGTTTTTTTGAGGTATAGAATCTCCCCATTCTTGTGTTGTTCCCATACCACACCCACCACCAAAGCATTCATAGCCCACCACCGTGGTCCATTGAGCTCCCTCCTCACATTTTTCTCACCCCTTCCCTCTCTCATCTCTCCATTTGTGGAAGCCTCAGTTCTATAGTCAGATTTCTAAGGTTTGTTACTAGTTTGTCTTTATCTTACCCTTTGTTTTGTTTCTCTATATGCACATATAAAAGACACTATCTGGTATTTTTCTTTGTATTTTTCTGGTATTTTCCTGACTGATTTTGCTTGACATAATTCCCTTCAGCTCCATTCAGCTTGGCACTGCATTGTGACAATAGCCTCTTTCATTTCTTGTGATAGTTCCAGCTGAATAGAATACCTTTGTTAGAGTCCCATCTGTTTTGTTCCTAGTTGACACTCCATTTGGTTAACCATCTTCACCTCATGAGTCAGATCTCCTGGCTGCTACAATAATTTCATTTACCTGTAGCTTGACATTTAAGTACTTAAATGGACTTTATATGGATCCAGTGATCCCCATTGCTATTAGTCAAGTAGTAACATCCTCTTCTCCCATCAGTCCTCGGTTATAGAAGAAGGCCACCACTGAACCTTTAGTGACAGTGATGATTTTGGTAAGTGGTGTATGTTTCAGGTGTTCCCAATGGAACATCATAATATAGTGTTGGTGTTCCTAGCCTTACAAAGTATATTCACTTTAGCATGCCATTTTCTATGGGTTTTTCAATCCCTTGGTCTACTGTCCACTGTGGCATTTTGGTATTTCATCTTGGCACACTGCTCAAGGAGTCATCTCTGTAGTGAGCATGCAGCATCACCCAAAGTCCTCACCTTTTAAATCCAGTATCACCAAAATGTTTCTAAGTCAATAAACTCCCCTGACCAATCTTCTCTTCTTCCTTAATTAAGTTCTCTCATATTTCAAACCAGCAGGTTTTCCTCTATACTTCCAATACACACTGAATCAGGCTTGCAGCTTCATTAGGATATTAGGCTTTATTAGCACCAGCATATCTCTGGCTGAGTGTTGTTGTGACTTAACCCTAATTATATGACTGAGGATCATTCCAAAGCTAAAGGCCAATCCTGAAGGAGGGCACATGTCTGTGAGCAGGGGACTCCACATTGCCTTCAAGCAAGAGGAGTGGGCAGGCAAACCCTTAAGAAAAAAAAGTGGCCCACTTCTGCATTTCCAGAAATGCAGAAAGTTCAGAAGAGTGTGAGGATCAAGATGTTCAGAATCATCCACTCATATATTCTAATTCAAAGTCAGGACTCCATTTTTTTCCAGCCAGACCCTCTTTTTGTCACAAATAACCTGCCTTAATTGGGCTTTGAACCTTATCTGGAGTTCTACCATTTCATAAATGCCTGGTTCTAACTTCCTTTGCCTTCCTGTGCAGGAAAGTACTTTTTTTTTTTTTTTTTTAAATATCAGGAGTGTGTTGGCTTTCATGTTTCAATTACGCTCAGCTTTTCATGATCTTTTTCTGGTATACTAGTCAGCTTAGCAAGCCATCCATTCCCATTGTCCTTATAGTTGCTTTCCCCAGTATGTCTCAAATACCTGATATTTTAAGCCAGTCAATGCATAATCCCCTCCCCCAGTGGTATATTGCCATGATTCACCAGTGGAGAGGCTTTAATAATGGTAATTCACCTTATACCAGGGAAGTCTGTGTTCCACTTACCAATAACAAGGCCCTCACTGCCACCTGGGCTCAATGATTTCTCAAGTCCCAATTTATCACCTTCTTTCTCAGACATCCCTCCAATTTAAGCTGGCATAAGTTATTTATTTTTCTGATTTTTAGACAAGTAATTTCTTGGCAGTATTTTTTTATTGAGGTAATGTTTGTTTATAACACTGCATATAATTCAGAGGCACCCCTTCAATGTTACCAAACCACGTTACCACACCAACCCAGCGCCAAAGCACCAGTAATCAGGTGTAGGTTCATTCCTGAAAAAGCAGATGCTTAAATAAAATTTGTTGTACAAGCTAGTTATTAGGCATTAATACCTGTGGAAAGAAGGCACCTAATCCTGCCTTTATTTAAAATTTTGATACTTTATTCATCATCACTCCTCATCTAGTCCCTTTCCTGGAGAAACAAAACCAAATTTGGCAGAGGGAAAAGTAGAACAGTAAGGCCTTGATAATACACTCCTGCACCAATCAGTCATAAGTATCTGCTGGCCCGAGAAGGGCGTGCTCTTGGCCTAGGTAATGCTCTGCAGCTGAAGGACACTCAAAAAGCTGCGGGCTCTCTCCTCAATACATTCTGGGTAGCCACGACAGCAGGTCCTTCTGTGAACGCCAATTCTGGCGTCTTTTGTTTACTATCGTTTTAAATGGGTAAAATTAGATATAGAAACGTTTAGGGGGTAAGGAGGAAAAAGAACTCTACAACGATTTTTTTGTGGGGGCGTATGGATAAAAGCGCTAATATGAAAGTTCCTGGGCATAGGAGGGGAAACTGCACCTCCCAACCCCATTGTAGTCAGAGCTCCCTGACGACTTCCGATAAAAAAAAAAGTGAGAACACGTGAAGGATGTCGCTTCCAGCAGTGACAATAGTGCTTCACTATTGAAGATGTCACTCCCAGCAGTAAAAAAAAATTCTAGCATCATCCAGTCTCAGTCACAGCAACAGAGGGACCACATAGTCTATTGTAGGGTAAGTAAAAATGATTATCAGGCTTTTCTGCCCTCCAGCCGTTAGGATAGATGACAGAACCCTGCCGTCCTGAATGCATGCCTGATGGCGGGCACCTGGAGTAGGGTGTGGGCCTGCCTAAGTGGATACACCTGTGCTGAGAGACTGGGCTTATAAGGGTGGTGTCTCGGGGAGGCCAGTAGAGTAGAGAAGCAGAGAGAATGTGAGCGAAGGAGAGGCGGAAAGAAAGGCAAAGACCACCAGAGAAGGCGGGAGAGCCCAGAAAGCACCCCTGCCAGCAGTGTACCTGGTAAATCCCAGTAGAAGCCTGCAAAAGCCACTGAGGGCTCCTGGACTCCTCCTTCACCCGTCTGGTCGAATCATTGAGAACCTGCTCCGTCCCTTCCTGCCGTTACATCTAGCCACAACAGAATGGAGCCTCCAGTATCCTTGAGGTAAGTGTTTAAATATATGTTTATAACTCAGATGTTTAAGGTGAAATATAAATCTTTTAGCGGTCATAGGCATGTAGATGGAAGCTATATGATAGCTAAATATCAACCAAGGAGTGAAGACATAGCTCTGAAGAGCTCCAACATTTAAAACTCAGAGGATACTGAAAATGGAGGCTAAGAGAGAAATATTCTCATTTAGAATTTAACAATAGTTCACCTATCTTAATGCTTTTGAATACTGTATGAAATTACTTAACCCACCCTTAAAATGTAAGGTAATTTGGAGGCAAGGACCTTGTTTTCTTGTTTATTCCCATATGCTCAGCATACAATGATTGACATGTGATTGCTCTTTAATATTTGTTGAAGTGTTGAATTATGAAGACAGGTTGCCATGTTTGGGGGGGAGGATGAAATCTGTGGTGTTATGAAATGATGAGAAACTCAAAGAAAATGTAGTCAACTATTAAGGACTGGTGAAGTAAAGTTAAGAGAAAAAAATGCAAGTTTGCCTTAACAGTTGGGAAGTCATAAGTGACCTTTGCTAGGAGTTTCAGTGGAAAAGTGGGAGCAAATTCCATATTGGGCTGAAGAGAGAACACAAACAGGGGTTACACATATTCAAGGAGGACAATTATGAATGAAAGGAGCAAGATAAATAACTGGAAGGTGATGTTTGTTTCATGGATTTTTTATTTATTTAAATATCACTGAAGGTACAGCTGTTGTGGGTGATAACTAATAAGGCAACAATCCTGGGAAGGAGCAAGAGCACAGGTGGCAGGATAGTCCATAATAGAATATAGAGCTGTAGTAGCTATGAAAGAAGGAAAGAGGATAGAGAGGGACTGTAGATTTATGTAAGGTTGAATGTTGACTGGCAGGAGGTGGTGTAGTAGCAGTCTAGGTCAGCAGAGTGAGAAACAATAGAGGTTTGAGGTCATTGGAAAGAAATAAGAATTTGATTTTCTTTAAAGAAATGGAAAATGGACTGACTAGTGAAACATAGAAATTCAGGAAATTTTAAGGTCATTTTAAGTTTGTTGGCTGTAAACTGATATCAAACATCCCCTTCCAGTTATTTATCTCTCTCCTTTCATTCATAATTGTCCTTCTTGAATATGTGTAACCCCTGTTTGTGTTCTCACCTACCATTCTCTCTTCAGCCCAATTCAATCTGGAATTTGCTCCCACTTTTCCACTGAGTTTGATGATTCTTAACTGCATGGAGTCATCCATGTGCAACCATAGAGAAACTTAGGGTTGCTGTTTTGGTCAGCAGTTGCACTTACAGGAAAATGCACAAGAAAGTTTGAGAGAAAGGAGAACATGGGAAAAAATGATGAGAAACTCAAAATCTAAACTAAAAGAAAATACAGGGAAAATCTGGCTCATAAAATAGAATAAATGAGCAAATGAGTTGGAAAATAAAGATAGGATTTCTTAGGCAGGGAAGGTAAAAAAAAAAAAAAATGGGAAGTGGATCAGACAAGGTAGTACCTGAAGAAGAGATTTAAGAGGTGGGGCAGGTTCGTGAGGTTCCAGGTATGGTGAGAATTTGGTGAAGGTGGCCAAGAGAAGGTACCAGCGAGAAAACATGAAGGAGACAGGAGGCCAACATTTCATTCAAACCTTCTGTGGTCTCTTAATTTCCCTTTGCTTTAATCAGAACTGAAGACTTTTGAGAGGATTTTTTTTTTTTAATGAGGAAAATGAAGTGAAAAGGGTTTTAATGTCTCACTCAAGGTGAGGAGTCAAAATTAGAAGGGGAAAAAAATTTCATATTTTCTTACTCCTAGTATGATGATTGTTTTTTTCTCTCCTTTTAATTGAAGTAATAGTATATTATTCTGTTTTAAACTCATACCTTCATAATATTATAATACCTTCATAAATATTAGTATGATTAATTACATATAGAATGTGTTTTGCTTGTACATATGGTAATAAATATTTTATTTAAAGAAGCCATCTACTGAAATATTCAGAGGTAATTTTTGTAGGAACATTTCCAAAAGCAATTAGAAGATTAAAAACTGATGGGAATGCTTTTTTCTAAGTAATGACTACTGTGAAACAAGTTCTACCTTTAATGTGTTCTTTGAAGATGATTTTTTAAAGTTAAAATGTCATTGGGTGAGTGATCTCTCTATGGTGGAGGAAGCATTTTTCAAGCTATAAATAGCAACATCAATTCTTATAAAGGACAATTTGGCATTGCACAGAGATTTAAATCACTGGAAAGCATTGAATGAAATTTTGTTCCGTTGGGAAATAAATTGTACTGTTTGGTGGCCATCTGTTTCATAATTGAAACACACATCCAAGATGCGTGCTTGTTCAAATATTTGACATTCTGACAACACAGGACTGGGAGATGTTACATTAAAGATCAGATTGTGCCTCAGATGCAATTTTAATATAGTAGTTAGATGCTACTGTATTATTCTTATTGTATAACATAGCAAGGTGATGAAGAAAATTTAAATATTTTAAGTAGTTGCTTTTGTTTCAAAAATAATAATGGACTACAAGTGTGCTTAGAGAAAATTTCAGTGATACCTGAATTAGATAAGGTATAATGACTATAATACCTCTCTTCCAATATATAGTATTATAAACCCATATTACCTCAAGAAAATAAAAAGTAATAAAATTTTGTCATTAAAAGATACCACCATTCATTTATAATTTGAATAAAAACACATGTAGGCGAGAAATAATAAAATTACTTTTACACTTCATCAAACCATTAAAATTAGTAATTATTCAGTTTCACACATCCATATCACTGATTATTTAAAATATAAATAGCAGTGTGTTTAATATCTTTTTATATAGTTATTTAAAAGTGCTAAAGTTCTAAATGCTTATTACCAAAGAGGGAAATAGAATAAGAGTCTAATGTTGGTTTTCAAACACAAAATTTCATACATGCAGTTATTTTGAAGGAAAATAATAAAATACTTTTATCCTGATTATTTCAGCAACTTTTTTAGTGCTGATTATATATTAATAGTTATTTTTTAAATAATGCAACTATTATAAGTGTGACATGGATTTGGAAAACAGCACCAGCACTAATTTGTATTCTTTTGTTATAAGAAAGCTTTTTAAAAAAATAAAGACAGTTCCTGATTATACTAGATTATTATAGATAATTCCTGCTTATTATAGATTGGGAACTGCTAAGAAATTGTGCACTAAAAATATAAAACAATGTATTGTTTTTAACTTTCTATTGACTATTTTGACAGGTTTAAAATATATTATCCCACATTTCCTCTGTATAATTAGTATTCTGTCTGATATTTAAAGTGTTTTAAAATTAAATCTGAAATGCATAATATCTACATATGTTCTTTAGCTTTCCAAGAGAATTCATAATTTTTAATGATGATTTAAAAATCACACCTGGTTTCCTAGAAGCCATAGAGTTCTTCTAGACTTTAACCAGAGTATTGCATGATTTAATGGAAAAGAATGTTGTCTAGGAAAAAAAAGGGCTGAAAGAATCTATCTTTAATGTAACATATGTGAATTTAGCTTTACAATTTCTAGTAATTCACACAACGCACTAAAGATGAACTTTCTAATTTTTTCTGGCTTTATTGAGATATAATTTACAAATAAGATTATATTTTATACACATTTAAAATGTACACTGTGGTGATTTGATATACATAAACATTGTGAAAAGAATCATCCCATATAGTGTTATTTATATACACACAGTATTTACATTCTCTCAATAAATTTCAGTGATATAAAACAGTATTATTTACAGTATTCACCATGACATGTTACTCTTGAGCCCTAGTGGCTGCACCAATTTTGAATCCCACCATTGGTGCACAGGAAGCCCTTATGAAGGGTTTTCCACATACTCACCAACACTTGCCTCTTCTTGATGATTGCCATTATAACACAACAGTCATTGTGGTTGTGATACATTTGGGATATTAACCCCTGATCCTACATATGATTTGCAAGTATTTTCTATCATTCAATAGGTTGTCTTTTCACTTTGTTGATGATTGGTTTTGATTTTTGGTTTGATGTAGTCTTGTTTTTGCTTTTGTTGTCTGCTTTTGGTGTCAGATCCAAAAACGAGTTGCCAAGACTGATGTCAGGTAGTTCATCCATATGTTTTCTTCTAGTTTTGCAGTTTCAAGTCTTACACTCTAGTCTTTGGTCCATATGGAGCTGATTTTTGTGTATGGTGTGTGACAACAGTTCAATTCTTTTGCATGTGGCTATTCAGTTTATCAACACCATTTATTCATTGTATATACATACTTATTTCTTATTATTGAGGCAGCATTGGCTTACAATGCTGTATATGATTTAGAGATATAGTATCACACCCTTCAGGTATGTGTTACCACACCACACCTACAATCAGTGCAGCCATAGTCCTCCATCATAGCCCATTGTGTCCCCTCCACACTCTGCTCTCCCACCTCCCCCTCCGGTAGCCTCAATTCTACATCAGCTTTCTAGGGCTTGTTATTGGTTTGGTTTTTTTTTTACCCTTTGACTTCTTTCTCTATAGTCCACATGTAAGTGACACCATCTAGTATTTCTTTCTCCTTCTGACTTATTTCACGTAGTATTATCCTCTCCAGCTCCATCCATGTTGTTGCAAAAGGCAAGAGTTTATTTTTTTATAGCTGAGCAGTATACTGAGGAGATAATGCTTTTGCTGCTGTATACAGTAGTTCCTTATCTGCAGTTGTGATTTCCACTATTTCATTTACCCACAGTCTGAAATATTGTGTACAATAAAAATGAGCGCATTCACATAACTTTTATTATGGAATGTTATAATAATTCTTCTATTTTATTAGTTGTTAATCTCCTACTGTGCTTAATTTATAAATTGACTTAGCATAGGTATATACTTATACAAAAAAACCTATACCAGATCCTATATATACTACCTTGGTTCAGGCATCCAGTGGGGTCTTGATGTATATTCCCCATAGATAAGGGGGACT